ATCTTATGCCTCACCCCACCCAGTCACTTTCCTCCTTCTCTTCAGCTCTTTTCTTGCTCTGTTCCCATTCTCCCCCAAGAGCTTCGGCAAGACCTCTCATCGGCTATTGCCTCTCCTCGATGCCTCCATGCAGCTCTTTTCATCCTCTCTCTGCCCCCAGTGACCTTTGTTCATAGCATCAAAGCGGGAGATCGGACCACAACTGACAGCTTTCTGGATCTCTCTCACTCTCTCCCTCTCCGACAGTGACAGAACCAAAGGCGGTGGACAGAACCGCCGGTGATGGATTGGTGGGCTCTTACTTTACTGTGTTCTTTGTCGATACTGTTAATTTCAATATCTCAGCTTTGGAATCTCGCCGCAGAGCACGCCCGTGGCAATGAATATGATGCTCGGGCCCTAGCTGTGGGGAGGAACGACGGAAACCGACGGTGGTGGTGATGGAGCAGCAGGAAGCCGAAGCGGGAGTTGGTGGAAGCGCCGATGTTCAAGCTGGAAGACGGAAGAAGCCCGACGGCAACCGATGAGGGGAGAAAGACCAGAAAGTAAAATAAAAAAAAATGCACCGAGAAGTAGCCAGTTGATTGCCGCCAAAGATTAGAAATTTAACCAAATACGTTCTCATTTAACTCCCATATTTTGTTCTCTGCTGCAATATGGCGGCTTGCTGTCCTCCCTCTCCAATGGGGATTTAGTTTTTTGGTTGTTCATCTACCCGAGGTTTTGTTCATGGATATTTTCGATTTTCTATTGATTTCCTCCAAGATGGATACACATGAGCTGGAATGGGCGCTTCAGAAAAACCCGAAATCCTATCACAGGTCCATTCCTCCATAGAAAATCTGGTTTCTGAGACAAGTACGGGCCAAACTTCCTTTAGTCATGCTTAACTCTATTCTCGACAAAGAAAATTATGAAATCTTTTTCATTTATTTACTCCCCGAGTTCCTCTTTCAGTTTGTTCGGCTTCAACTCTGAAGTGTATTAATCTATCAATATCTTCGATGAGCAAGTAAGTTGTCCTTCTGTAGTCATAAGTAATAATGCCAGTGATCTTTACATGATTCACCAGCTTAATCCTGACGGTAAATGGACAATATGGTTTCTGCTTTGCTGTTAGATGTCAATCCCATTTCTTCTTTTCATAATTCTGTATAGCATTGCCAAAATAACGATTTATATGAATGAGAGAGCATTCTTTTTTACTAATTGTACTACATTGTGCAATGTGGAGCTAAAGCACATACAAACATTAGTGCATGATCAACTCTTTTCGTGGGCGAAATGCGAGCCAAGGTACAAACATTGTTGCTTGGAGTGTTGTTTTGCGGTTAATTACGGTTATTGTGTATTTCCTAATACATGGAACAACAACTATGTGTATTTCTTAAGACATGGAAAATGATAATGACCCGTGTTTCTTGACAATGTATCATGCTAATTACCTGTGGAACTCAAGATAAAAAGGTCTCCTAAACAGACTTCTGATACTTTGAAACCCACACCATTGCTAATAATACAACCTCAATTTGTGTCACCTAACCTGCTCACAATACGATCATCCTACTGTAACTTTAGTTTCCGCGGTGTAGCAGCGGGCATCGATTCTAGTATATACAAAAGTCAACTCATATGGACTTGAAATTTGTACAGGTCCGTATACCATGTGCTTAACAAACGAGGTTGCCGCGATTCGAACAATAGACTTCTCGATTATAGAAGGCTCTAATACCTTGTCAAAAATCTATTGATCCCAATAACACGAGTTAATGAGAAATGTACAATAATAAATCTAACATCATCAAGCTTTGTATAGCCTATAGGTGAGTAATAACTCAACACAATACCCATTTTTGTAGGTTTGTTAAAATGGGTTGGTTACTACTTGGTACTTACTTAAACACTATAGAAAATAAACACATACTTAACCAATATAATATTGCCCACCAAATGGGGCTGGTAGTACTATACATATATAGAGCTATGATAATTTCTGTCCACTACAAAACAATTGTTATTATGTATTTTTTTTAGTAATGCTTGCTTGAGTATTACTTTACAGCAACGACCCATGACCCATCTAGTTCCATCCACATCTTGACCTAAAAAAGGGGTAAATGACACATTTGGTCATTGAGATTACTAAATCATGTCATATTTAGTCACTAGAAAATTTTAATATTAATTTTGGTCACTCGAATTACTGACACATGTCACATTTGGTCACTCTTCTGTAGCCTCTGTCCAACTCCGGTCACTCGAATTATTGAAAAATGTCACATTTAGTCACTCGGATTACTGAAACATGTCACATTTAGTCACTCTCCCAAAAGTTTCCGTCCAACTACATTAATGGAGTTGGTCGGAAACTGACGGGAGAGTGACTAAATTTGACCAGTTTCGGTAATTCGAGTGACCAAAATTGATATTAATTTTTTTTAGTGACTAAACATGACACAATTTAATAATCTCAGTGACCAAATGTGTCATTTACCCCTAAAAAAGCTATAATTAGCCTAAACAGAAAAGGACTAGCCAGTAAGCATTCATAAGGAGAGACTAATAATTAAAGTAATTTTGGATGGTACTATCCTCTCTCTTCTTGCACATTGGTTTGTTATATATTTTGTTTGAAATATGAACAACAATATTTTGTTTTATAGACAACACATGTATGACCATATTAGGATGTTGAGCTCACTTTGTCTAAACTACAATCCAAAAAAATTTAAACATGACCTTGCTTGAGTAGTTGTCATTTGTACTCGTCGTTGATAAAATCCTCATTCTTACACTTCGTTGGAAAATGTATGTCATGTCAACTCAAACAAGAGCCAGCCAAATGAGTTTTGACTTTTACAATGATCATCAACTAATCTTGTGGCCAAATCGATTCTGATATCATGTCGAAAGCCCATTTTGTTTCACACACTTGAGCTATTAAGAGAGGTTTAAAATTAAATCTTATACGATTTTCCTTTTCGAGTTACTTTATCGAGATGGTGAGCCCAACATATATAGCATTTACACATCCATAGATGAAAGTTGGAATTATAGTAAGGCGTGTAAAACATGTTTAAGTAGGAAAGACTACCTCATCATGTATAGTTTCAGCAAACAATTCTTATCAATGAGTGAATAAACAAGTGAAGATATTAGGCAAAGGCCATCAATTGAAAAAGATACATAACGAATCAAAGACCTTCATCCTCTAGTTTTCCCAACAACAGGGCGACCAATGAAAGGGGAGAAAGAGAGAAACGCAACTGCTTTCACCAAATAGTCTATTGTTGTTTTGAATAATCTGGCGGATGAACTGTTAATGTGCGGCAACTGGAAGGAGCAATCCAATGCATTAGAGGCTTGATGGACTTTAGTCAAAGAATTAGTAGAATTGGATTAATTACTAAAAAAGAAAACAAGGGTGTCAATCAAATTTACAAAACATAGAATATGATTGTAATATCCAAATAATAAAAAAAAAAATCATTTTTATAAGTACTTGCAACTGATTTTCATTTTTTGTATAGATATTTTAAGATATATTCATGATCGAATTTATTTATTTTAACCGGTATGATTACATTAAAATTTGAAAAAAGGACTTTTTTCAATCTTTATTATTTTTAAAGATTACTCATCATTTCCTTTTAGTCCATTTAAATCTCTTATTCAAATCGTTGTTACGATAACACGAATCCAATTTGATGTTAAAGAAATGTGACCTAAATTAAAATAAAAACTGTGAACAATGAAGATTATCCCAAGAAAAATTAGAGTTATTAGATCTTTGTCTCCAATTAAAGAGGAGGGTGATTAGTTAATGATTCGAAGATTTTATTTCGTTGTATGATTTTTTTTTTCAAGTTTAATATTAAGATTGTATTTTTTTTAAGACTGATTATCACAGGATATCTAATGTTTAGTTTTCATTGCTCCCTTATTAAAGCTCTCACAAACTGAACTTTCCCCAACGCAGAAAGTATAAACTCCCCTGACAGTGATGAAGTATGGCCAAAAATGAATGCAGAGGGAATGTTAGAAGTTGAAGAGAGATGCTTTGTTGTGTGATTTGAGTTTAGAGAGGAAAGGAAAGCTTCTTGCCCCTCAAAAAGGCTACTTTTAACCAATTCAACAAACAGTAATGAAGATTCTTCAAGCAAACGTGGGAATGGGCAATGGCCTTATCTTGATTGCAATAATGAGAAGAACTTTGCTGAGAGAATGCTGCAAAAGGAAAGGAGAGGGAAAAGATACCATAGATGTTACAAAGTGCCTTTCCTTTTCCTTGTATCAATAGCACAGACCAAACATAACCTTTTTTCTATCCAACCCTATCTCCTGGTACTGGTAGGGTAGCAGCTAGACAACCCAGTCTCAAAATCCTCTCAACCAAATAGAAAAAGATCCAATTTTTACCCATTATTCTCTCTGTATGAGACTAACCCTTGATTGATTGCAAAGAAATAAGATGTGGGTGACTCATAAATCCTCCAATTTCAAGTTTCAATTAGTTGCTATCAAAGATCCGACAGATCTGAAGCTGATAACGACCTTTAGTTGGAGGGAAGAGACAGCAGGGTGCAAGATCACTTGGCCTGCCTGCCAAGAACCCCAAAATCTATACTTTCTTTTGTATTCTCAAGTAGTTTCAGCACTAAGTAGCATATTGTGGCAAACACAAGAAAATCAGCTGCACACTATGACAGATTTCCTTCCCGAGTTCTGAAGACGGGGATGAAAAAGAAGGAAAGGATCGGAATATTCTGCAGCACAGCTAACAACATAGTAGTGGATTCTCAGTCCCACCAATATGCCAAATCAATCAATCAGGTTCCAGAGAAATTGAGGAATTGGTTGCTTCTTCATCAATCCAAAATTGCGTGCAAAGGGCAAAATCCAAGCACTATTTCATGTGTTTCTGTACTAAAATTAGGAACATCAGTGGTGTGTGCTGCTGCTCCTAGGGAGAAGTTCACTGCCACTAAAAAGCAGAAATTAGGTTGAGACAGGAAAGCTTGTGCCAAAGGCTTCTGTAAATAAATGATTCCAATTTCACACGAATCTGCCAAAACAAATCAAGGTTATTGGTATATTGAACTGATACACAATGCCTGATCTACATATATGCTTGTGCCAATCCAGCCTCTAAATGCTAGGGGGATCCAAAGAAAAGACAAATAAAATATACAACAGAGAGGACCACCCTTGAGCACAGCAAACTCAATTATGGTTAAAAGGTACAACACAAAAAATAAGGGCATCTCTTCGTCTTCTCAAGCCACAAAGAAGATGAAAATCATGAGAAAAAAAATTACGATGGCAAAGATCTTGATCAGAAGCCACCTATTGGATGATATTTGGTTAAGATGTCGCAGAAGAGAACTGTGAGCACCTTCGACATTGGATAGTGATTCATCCATGTTGTCATCAATTCTGTCAATTGATCATTGTTAGATTGTGTCAATTCATAAAAATAACGGTTCAAGAACAAAAAAAAAAAAAAGTTTTTGAGTTCAAACTGGACAAAGAGAAATATAAGTTACCGAATAGCCAGCTCTCCTTGATGGGCAACCATGGTAGCCAAATGTGTAAAGATCCCACTAAGTTCTGAGATGGTTGATTCCACATTGTGGAGAGCAGATACACGACTTTGAGCTAAATTCTCCTGCCTACTAGGGGCTACTTGCTGTAACATGGACATTTCCATTTGTTGGGAAGGAGCATTATCAACAGCTGGCCTCCGCCTGATGTTGGAAGTTCAATAAACCTTGCTCAGACGATTAGAAAGTGAAGTTCGGCATAAAATCAAATGAGCAGAAGAATTTAGTTCAGAAGGATCAATGCCACAGCCCAAGGTTAGCCATGAAGTTATCAGTTCATTTGCTCTTTTGATTAGTAAGATGTGGTAGTACCATTCTGGAACAATTAATTCGAACGAGAAGTAAATGAATGGATATTCTGAGGGCAAACGGAATTATCAATTATGAGTTGCAAATTACCCTAACAGAGTTGTACAATCAGATAAATTGGGTAAGATATACAATGACCACTCAATAATAATCCATGACAAGACAGATTCCAACGTTCTGTGCAATACCCACCTCAATTGGTTGCCAGCTTGAACACCATTCGGTGGCAATCTGGTGAAGGAGGGAAAGAAATGTCAATGAGATAATCATTAATTGATCAAGTAAACAGAGGAAGGACAGAAGTAAAAAATTTGGACTGCAAACAAGAAGCAGCAATGAAATCATTTAAGACAGGATGGCTAGGCCAAAGAGGAAAGTTTCAATTGTCAGAAGGGTAACTTACGAGGATGGCTGCGAAGGGTCAAATTCGTTTGTTGAACTTGACCAAGGAGGTGGTTCAACCAAGGGTTTTGTTTGACGAACAAACGGGTTTTCTCTTGAAGCATTTGCAGAAAATATCTGCTTCCTGTTCTCATGAGCTTTGATATTCTGAGAGTTGGAACAACCATTAGAAGAAGGGCAAGTGACCAGCGTCAGCTATATAATGCCAATAAAAGAGCAATTCGCAAAGATACAAAACGGGACATGGACATCTACCTCAGTTCTAGTGGTTAACACATTATGAAGCTCTTTAGTAGCCCCCATGAGCTTGTTCTTCAGGTCATCACAAACAGCCGTGGAATGGACAACCCTGTCCTCGGAGTAGTTCCCATCAGCTATTTCCATCCTCTGAAGGGTTTGAAGATCCGTAAGAGCCGTGTTCAAAGCCGTAATGTCGTTCTTTATAAGGCCTGTCAGTTCTTGAATCTCAACTGTAGGGTCATCAAACATAGACGACCTCTTTGCCACTGCAGCACATTTGAGATAAGCATCAAAAGCCAATACCGCCAATCAGCATTTACATAATTCAGCACCAAATTTCAAACTAATCAACAACCCATTTCCCCATTTTCACTGCTACAAACTTGATCTCAGTTTGTTAGCATCTGCCAAAAAAAGTACTTTGAGCACAATTGAGACAAAATTAGAGTCAAGATCCAACGGGCACATACTGTTCAAATTCATCAATAATAGCAGAACCTAAGCTCCAGAGCCATTAACTTCCTAGCCCTACATCTAACGAGATCGAAGAAAAGGGAGCTTACATTTGGCGAGCCTAGCGATCTTCTGTGAGGTCTCATGAACTCCCAGCCCGATCAGGGAAGCCTTCTTGTTGAATTCGGATCTGTACGAGACCGAGGAAGCCTGCTGCTTTGAAGGCAGGAATGGATCAGTTTCCTGGGATTGAGCTCCGTCGGGCCTGAACCCTCCGATCTTCTTCAGCGTCTCGGTGATTGATCGGAACTCCGCCGTCCGATCTCTGTACGCAGAAGCCATTCCCGCACAGTGGAAGAAGCTCTTCGCAGTGGCGGGCTTCGGTGGAGCGAAATTAGCTGTCGTAGAAGTATAGGTTGTTCTGCTACAAATTTCGGTAATTCTGTTGTCGAATTCCTTTATTTGGGCCCAACGCCCCGAGCCCAGACCAAATTAGGCCCATTTTCTTTTCTGAAAAAACCCAGCTGTGGCCCATGTAAGATTGCATACACATCTCTGTTCTGTGTCGAAAGTAAAGTAAACCGAAGGCGTCCGATTCAGATCAAGGCGAATATCAACCGTCCGATCTAGGTTACTTTCAGGAACAAAGATATAAATAGGATCGAAATCCTCCATTTCTCTCTACCGCCTTTACACCATTTTTCCGTCTAGGGTTTTTCCTCTTTACATTTCTCCAATCAGCTGCGACCCGCGAGGTTAAAGAGACGCCGCCGGTGTGTCCACCTTGACAGAGCTCCTGAAGCTTCGTCTTGGTCCTCGCTCTTCGTTGTTAGAAATCCATTTCCTCCGCCGCCGTACAGTTAGGGTTTAGTGTCTTCTCCGTTTGTTGTAGAAATCTAGAAACAGACAGCGAAAATGGTTGGGAAGCCGTCGAAAGCTGATAAGAAGCTCGCCTATGACTCCAAGATGTGTCAGCTCTTGGACGATTACAGCCAGGTCCTGATTGTTGCTGCCGACAATGTTGGATCCACCCAGTTGCAGAACATCAGGAAGGGTCTCAGAGGTGATTCTGTGGTGCTCATGGGTAAGAACACCATGATGAAGAGGACGATTAGGGTTCATTCTGAGAAGTCTGGGAACACGGCTATTCTCAATCTCCTCCCTCTCCTTCAGGTAAGAAATGGAATGGAGGCTAATCACTGTGTTTGATATTGGTTTCATATTGAAATCTTGTATGGAGCGGAGCAATATCTGTTAGGTTTTGTATTATTTTAGCCGATTGAATCTTAGCCTCCTGGCTTGAAGTTTATAGGGTTCAATATATTATGTAGTATAGCTACGTGAATACGTGATCGTGTCTTCACTAGGGTTTATTGTAATGTCTATGGTATCCGGAACCAGAAGTTGTGTGAATTAGCTATGTATGCAGTTAAGAGATTGTCTTTCCTGCATAGGAACTGGGATTATTATAATATTCCTTTGTTATTTTGACGTAAAAGCTCTTGTTTATTGTATCTGACCAACTATCGTTTGGATTCAGGGGAATGTTGGTCTGATTTTCACTAAAGGTGATCTCAAGGAAGTCAGTGAGGAAGTGGGCAAGTACAAGGTAAATTGGATTGTGAACTTATTTTTATTATGGTATCATGGATGTTGGCCTCAATGTTTGTCGATGTCTAAACCTTGTATATCTGTTTACCTCTAATAGCATATGTCTTCTAGTTTATATATTGCTTTTTGAAAATTTTGTTTGCTTCAACTATTTGAATTCACAGGTTGGAGCTCCTGCTCGTGTTGGTCTGATTGCACCAATTGATGTGGTTGTGCCTCCTGGAAACACTGGACTCGATCCATCTCAGACATCTTTCTTCCAGGTTTGTGCTTGTTGTATACTTTTATTGTCATGTCCTAATTTCGTATTTGATTTCTTTTGTCAAAAGGGACTTTATCTTATTCTGTGCACCGCAGGTCCTTAACATTCCCACCAAGATTAACAAGGGTACAGTCGAAATCATCACCCCTGTGGAGCTGATTAAGAAGGGTGACAAGGTCGGTTCTTCTGAGGCTGCCCTGCTTGCCAAGCTTGGCATCAGGCCATTCTCTTATGGTCTTGTGGTTGAAAATGTCTATGATGATGGATCGGTCTTCAGCCCTGAGGTTCTCGATCTGACAGAGGATGCTCTCATGGGAAAATTCGCTTCTGGTGTGTCCATGCTCACTGCCCTCTCACTTGCCATTGCTTACCCCACACTTGCTGCTGCACCACACTTTTTTGCCAATGCCTACAAGAATGTCTTGGCCATTGCTGTGGAGACCGATTATACCTTCCCCCAGGCAGAGCAAGTGAAGGAGTACTTGAAGGTTTGATGCCTTCTGAATGCATGCCAATTGAGTATTGATAATCTTATCTTGTCTAGTTTTGGTTGTTGATGAGTTTGAATGTAATGTTGTGCAGGATCCTAGCAAGTTTGCTGTTGCTGCTGCCCCTGCTGCAGCCAGTGGTGGTGCTACTGCCGCACCTGCTGCTGCCAAGGAAGAGGAGAAGAAACCAGAGCCAGAAGAAGAGTCCGATGAAGATGGTTTGGGCTTCAGTCTGTTCGACGATTAAGTTTCCCCGACCCAGTTATCTTTTTGTAGTACCCCTAAAGTTTTGGTGTCTGGTTGATACTGTTGGATTCTATTTTAATTTTAGCTGTGCACTGTTTTCTTTTTGCTGTTGAAAGTTGAAACGTTTTAAATGGTTTTACTAGTTTGTAATCGAATGCTGTTTTATTTGCTTTATCGAATCTTGTCTCTTGCAGTCTTGCTTCATGGTTGCTACTATTGTTTCGAAATGAAAGTTTCGAAATGTTGGGTTCACGGATGGTGATCGAAATTGACCAATTCACAGCCATCTTTTTTTAACTTCCCAGGTGATTAGTGGCTTTCTCTTTTGTTCGTGGGTTGTGGAAATTCCCAAGTGAAAGTAAATTATCAAGGAGTTAAGGTTAATGTCAGAAAGCATGTTAACTTGTTGGGCCGTGAATAATGGGCCCAGTATATGTTTATTTAATTGTGGGCCGGAGCAGATTTAGGAGCATATACCGATTTAGGTGGGAATTCAGAGTTAAACAAGGACAAAATAACCCTGCAGAAAAATTTCTATAAAACGGGAGAAACCTTGTTTGCACTGCACGCTTCTTTCGCCTCCCTTTTCCTCTCTTGCAAGAACACAGGTTTAGGGTCTTAGGTTTTTCTCCGGTTGAAAACAATGGTTGGGAAGCCGTCGAAAGCAGATAAGAAGCTCGCCTATGACTCCAAGATGTGCCAGCTCTTGGACGACTACAGCCAGGTCCTGGTTGTGGCTGCCGACAATGTCGGATCGACCCAGTTGCAGAGCATCAGGAAGGGTCTCAGAGGCGATTCCGTGGTGCTGATGGGGAAGAACACCATGATGAAGAGGACGATTAGGGTTCACTCTGGCAAGTCTGGGAACAGAGCTATCCTCAATCTCCTCCCTCTGCTTCAGGTACAAAAAAAATTAGAATCGAACCTGCTTACTGCGTTTGACTTGGGATTTCGTGTTGTTAATTTGTGTTCGGAATGTTAGGGTTTAGGGTTGAACCTGTTAGGGTTTCAGTATGGTATATGTAGATACGACGCTGTGTCTTCACTAAATAAGAACTAGGGTTTATTGAAATAAGTCTCTAGTATCCTGAACTGGAAGCTAGCTATATATGCAGTTAGGGGGATCTTCTTCCTTGAATGCGTATTAGGGTTTGTTATAACGAGTCTGTGTTATCCTAAACTGAAACCTCTTGCTTATAGTTTCTGAATTTTTTTTCTTTTGATTCAGGGGAATGTTGGTCTGATTTTCACTAGGGGTGATCTCAAGGAAGTCAGGGAGGAAATCGGCAAGTACAAGGTAAGTTGGATTTTGAACTCTTTGGTTTTAGTATATAATAATATCGTTGTTTTTCGCGTCCATGGCTGTCGATGTCTAAACCTTGTATGTGGGATTTACTTGTGAGAGCATGTGTCCTTGACTTTATGCATTGCTTTTGGGGAATGTTGTTTGCTTAAAACGATTTGAATTGACAGGTCGGTGCTCCTGCTCGTGTTGGTCTGATTGCACCAATTGATGTGGTTGTGCCTCCTGGAAACACCGGACTCGATCCATCTCAGACATCTTTCTTCCAGGTTTGTGATTTCCTTATTGCCATGTCCTAATTTCTAATTCCATTCTATTGTGAAAGGGACTTAATGTTGTTCTGGTACTCTTGCAGGTGCTCAACATTCCCACCAAGATTAACAAGGGCACGGTCGAAATCATCATGCCTGTGGAGCTGATCAAGAAGGGTGACAAGGTTGGGTCCTCTGAGGCTGCCCTGCTTGCCAAGCTCGGCATCAGGCCATTCTCTTACGGCCTGGTGGTTGAATCTGTCTACGATGATGGGTCGGTCTTCAGCCCCGAGGTTCTCGATCTCACTGAGGACGACCTCATGGAGAAGTTCGCCTCTGGTGTGTCGAATGTCACTGCCCTCTCGCTCGCCATTGCTTACCCGACTCTGGCTGCTGCGTCGCACATGTTCGCCAATACCTACAAGAACGTCCTGGCCGTTGCTGTGGAGTCGGAGACCGATTATTCGTTCCCTCAGGCTGAGCAAGTGAAGGAGTACTTGAAGGTTTGATTCGACGCCTTATGAGACCATGCCGCGATTGGATGGTGTTTCATTTTGTTTTTTTGTCTGGTTTTGGTTGTTAATGAGTTCGATGAATGTTGATCTTGTGCAGGATCCTAGCAAGTTTGCTGTTGCTGCTGCTCCTGCTGTAGCTAGTGGTGGTGCTGCTGCTGCACCTGCTGCTGCCAAGGAAGAGGAGAAGAAACCAGAGCCGGAAGAAGAGTCCGACGATGATATGGATTTCAGTCTGTTCGACGATTAAGTTTTTTTGTTGTCTGGTTGAGACCATCGGATTTGGTTTACAGTTTTAGTTTAGCTGCAAATGTAGTTTTTCTTTCCTGTGGAGACGTTTGTTTTACTAGTTATTAACCGGATGCTGTTTTATTTTACTTGATAGATCTTTTCGTTGTTCTTTGGGCAAATACAATATATTAGCCATAACTATTAAGCAGCGGGGAATTATAGCCACAACTATCGAAATACAAATTATTAGCCAATCGTTAAGTTTTCGTTAACACTTCTGTTAGTAATGATGACTAAGCTTTTACGATGGTGAGCTGGCTCCCACGTGGCAGTCATCATATCATATTTTTTACGATGCTGACATGGCCTTCTACGTTAAAAATTTGAAAACAGTAACTGGCTGTTAGCCAAATCTTGACCCACAATAATAGTTATGACTAATAATTTGTATTTCGATAATTGTGGCTATAATTCCCCGCTGCTTAATAGTTATGGATAATATATTGTATTTACCCTTGTTGTTTTGATGCATGGTCAAAGCGATGCGTTGTGCCGTAGTCTCAACTGCCAGTGCCAAGTGCCAACTACAAATCTTGGTTTAAGGCGTTGACACATTCATTTTTTTTTTATATAGAAATCCCTGGGTATTTTATTAATGAATCAATCGTTGGGTTACAACAATCTACTCTCAATTGGGAGGTTAGTATAACCGGTGGTCTTTCCTCCCAAATCTCATCGACATCCCAATCAATATAAGTCAAAATCGCGCTTTAAAACTTAAAAGCTTACGATTTTCCGTTTTTAGGACACCAAAATGCTTCTGTTTCCATATATAATATGTAGTGTATAAAATCGTACTAAATTGCGTTTTAAAATTTAAAAGCTTACAGTTTTACGCTTCTAATTCACCAAAACGCTTTTACGCTTCTAGTTTACTAAATGGATATTCTTTCAATGAAATCCACCAATAATATATAGTACACTTTTGTGTACTTTTCTCTATTTCAAATTTATTGCTCTCTTCTTAATTTTAGGTAGGGGTGTAGTGGTAATTAAGAAAGTTAATAATTAAAAAAATATTAATATTAAAAATATGTTTAAATGTGGGGAAGTTACTCACCAAACTTTCAATTTTTTGGGTAGCATTATTTATTTACTATAATATCAATTAATCTTTATTTTTTAGTATTCTTAATCTTTCAATCATCTTTTCATAGTGTGAACACATTTTACTCTATATTTTTACTTTTTCTTTAATTCTTCGGTTATAATTATCGGTTTGTATTTCATTTATACTAATTCCGAATTCAAATATTTTTGTGTGATAAAATCTTATTTTTTGTTATGTACACAATATATTAATTTTTTTTTGGTAAAACACAATATATTAATTTTGATATGTTTTAAAATAAAATATTTTATTCTCCTGAACATGTGGTAATCAAACCCCAAGGGTTGACCTAATGATAATGTGGGGATGAGATTATACCAGCATAGTATTAGTTGTGAACAATCATAGTATAAATTTATATAATGAAGGCATTTGCATAACATCAATTCACATGATAGTTTTAGGTGCCTAAAGTAACAATTGATGTCGTAACGAGTTTTATTTTAAAGTATACAAAAGTTTATTTCAGTGTGTGATTACAACTACGTCGAATTTATTGAATTACATGGATTGGAATTAATCAACTAGGTTAGTGTTCAGATTTCAGAGCCACAAACTTTGAGATAGAGATATTGAAGAAGTTTGTGTAGCTAGATGTCAAGGTATAAACTCGCATGCTTAATTACTATTGATTTGTTTTGAAGGTCACTTTATGCAAGGAAGATTTTTTTGGTTTTAGGTTTATTAAGATGTAAGTAAATGTATGGTTGACAAAATTAGCTTTATTAATTACTTGAAAGGATATTAATCCCACTTTAGTTCCTAGGAAATCACCACAATCATACATTTATTAAGTTGAATCTAAAAATTATGTTAATTATTGCATATTCGCATATTTTGGGCTATGATGTTGTACGGTGAATTTTAGTGTTAAGAATTAGGGAATTAATAGTTTAGACTGTATATTTTCAGTGTATTGACTTGAGGATATATGGTTAATCGTATAGGCTGAAAGAGAATATGTAAAAGCTCAAAGAGACATGTTTACTTGGATTCAAATTTGAGGTTTAGATTTATGATGAAAATAAGATAAATATATATTTTTTAAAATATTTATCATAATTATTTTTTGAACCATTTTCTATTTAGAGTTTTCAAAATTTTGGGCTTTGAGCTTAATATATTATATGTAGGCAATCGGTGGTTAATGACTACATAACCTAAAAACTAATGTGTTCTTTCGAAAAGATTGAGTTGAGAGTTAAGGATTAGGGTGTGCCTACGGTGACATGCATGTCACGGTGACTTGCACTTTCCGGTCGATCTCAGTTAGGATTAGGTCGACCTCATTTAGAATTCAGTCGACCTCATATAGGATCTGGTCGACCTCATTTAGGATTAGGTCGACCTCATATAGGATCAGGTCGACCTAATCTGTTGTTTCAGTGTAAAAACAGTTCATGGTGCCTACTTTGAATATTCATATCATACAATTGGCTAGATGGAAATTGAAGACTAATGACTTGTTTTGAAGCTGGAGTGTCCCTCTACATATTGAAGTGATTGAGAGCTCGATAGGATGTCCAGAAGACCATTTTTCAACCTCATCAAAAGGCTATGCAAAAACTGGGAACTGCCTGGAAATGGCTAAGTCTGGAAACGTGTTTGTGAAGCCTATTTTGGAGCTCAATTCGAGAAGTATGAATGTGAGTCGAGTCCAGGAGCCTCTACCACGTTAAATTAGGTATGTTTTCATACAAATTCAAGGCATTGGATGAAAGATTGGATATATGTAAGGCTTCAAACAAAAGGGTCGAAGTTGCTACGAAGGCTGTTTTTCTGGCAGACTTCGAGCACAAGCAAGCGGCCAGAAAAACAGCCTTCGTAGCAACTTCGAGCCTTTTGTTTGAAGCCTTAAAGATATTCAATCTTTCATTCAATTCCTTGCCTTTATATAAAAAATACGTAATTTAACGTGGTAGAGGCCCCTAGACTTGACTCGCATCCATGCTTCTCAAATTGAGCTCCAAAGTAGGCTTGACAAACACGTTGCCAGACTTGGCCATTTTCAGGCAGTTTCCCAGTTTTGGCATAGCCATTTGGTCAGGTTCAAAAATGGTATCCTGGACTTTCTATTGAGCTCCCAAGTACTTTAATGTGTAGAGAGACACTTCAGCTTCAAAACAAGCCTTTAATCTCCAATTTCCATCTAGCCAATTGTAAGATATGAATCTCCAAAGTAGGCACCATGAAACTGTTTTTACACTGAAACAACAGATTAGGTCGACCTGATCCTATATGAGGTCGACCGAAAAGTGCATGTCACCGTAGCAAAGTCCTAAGGATTAATGGTGGAATATTTCATTTGTTTGAGGGTTTTGTTTATGATGTGATTGTATGATTGAATTGTTTGATAAGACTATTTATTTTTATTGTCAAATACTAATTTAACTTTCATAATCTAAGTTAACTTCGAAAATGATTACTGAAATTAAAATTTATATACTATAGTAAAAATTATATGAGAACCATTTTATTATTGCATTTACCAACCGTAAGTGCAATTTACGAAAAATTATATTTATAAAAGTTCCGACCAACTGGCCGGATCAAAAGCTAGCTATTTATAAAAAGTAAATTTTAACGGTAAATCACCAACAATATGATATATTTGAAATTAAAAGATACAAACCAGGTACTTGGATGCATTCTCATCTTCAATAGAGTAATCTAATTCACCAACTAGGCCCTTCCCAAATTCATTAGCATAGAGGGGAAGGTGGTTTATTGTTAAGATCTATGTTTATGAACTTATTGTTAAGATGCTATGAATTGCTCTACTTTAGACATGAATTGCATGTATTATTAACTTATCTAAATTATGTGCACTCATATTTTACACAGTATATGTCGTACTTAACAAAAAAATTTAGCTATTTTACAGTATGCGTAAAAACCTTCCGTTTTGATTCTACGCTTTACGATTTATCTCTTTTCCGCTTCTAGGTAGAATCACGCTTTTGACTGTATTGATCCCAATTACAAAGAATATGAGCCATAGTGTGGGCCGCCTTATTATCAAAAACCCATTTTACCCGGCCCAGACTTTGAGCATCAGCCCACATTCCTTTTCTCCCTTTCCCGCCCAATCCCTCGCTAGAGCGCCGACGTCATCACCCGCCACCGCTGCATTTATTAACACACACTAAAAGACAAGCTTGACAGAATCTCGTTCCCTCATAACAAACTCTTTACCGGATCCTCCAGACAGTGGACGAGTTGATTGGTAAAAGCGTGAGAAGTATCAAGATGGCCACGGAGGTCTGGAAAAACCTAAAGCAAAGGTATGGTCAAGGTGACTTAGTTCGAATCATAGTGTTGCAAGAATAATTATGCACTCTGAAGCAAGGAGCTAAAACATTGTTTGATTATCATACAGAATTAGTCATAGTATGGGAAGAACGTAAGAATTACCAGCCCATACCTAACTGTGCTTGTGCTCCCAATAGTCATCGTGATTGCGTAGCTATCAACACAGTTAAGTTCTACCATGATACGAATTTGATTGTTCATTTCCTTCGTGGATTAAATGAGAACTATGCTATTTCTCGATCTCAAGTCCTCTTTAATGATCATCTGCCTACAATGGATCAAGTCTTCCATAAAATGGTTCAGTATGAAAGACAATGTTATGGTAGTCAACTAGATAAGGGTTGTGTTGTTGAATCTATAGCTCTAGCACTGTAGTCCATGGGTATACGTTTTCCAATCAACATAAGGCTAGACCAGAATGGAACAATTCTGCTGGAGGTTCTCGAGGTAGAGGCAGAGATAAGGGTCGTGTTGTTGAATCTATAGCTCTAGCACTGTAGTCCATGGGTATACGTTTCCCGATCAACAGCAGGCTA